GGTGTGTGTGTGTATATATATATATATATATATATATATATATATATATATACACATACACATATATATGTGTGTATACGTGTGCATGTGTTTGTGTATAGACAAAGCAAAAGCACTATTAAATAATAATAATAATAATGAATTATTATTATTAATTATAATTACAAGATATAAAAATGAAAAAAAAAAACTACCAAGCCGTTCTGAGACGTTGCAATCGCCGGTGCATAATGATCTGCTCATGCATACAAACATAATGCCATGCTTCATTCTGAATTTTTTTAGTTCACTTTTATTTCAATTAATCACGCAGCTTTAGGAGCAGCCCTCATTACACATCTAGAAAGTGATAGATTTGCAGTTATTACCAACAAACAGATGGAATGTAGTACCATGGCAGCCAAAAACAACAAATCTGATTTGCTGCTTGGAAACAGAAAGGCTACTTCATTTGGAAATGAGAGATGAAGATGGGGAAAAGAGATTGGTTAAAACAAAAACCTGCCATGTAGAGAAATGTGCTGGGTGAGAAAAAGAGTGATGTGACATTCAAGACATTCAACGTGTTGGAAATTGGAGGAATAAATCAGCCTGCGAAAATGAGGTAGGGTTTTAAACTGATGATTGCATTTGTTTATCAATTCTAGAAATCCACACCAGCTTGGCCTAAAAGTGGCCAATTTTCTCTCGGTGTGGGACAAATACAGCCAAATGTGTCAGAGAACTTCCAAGTTCTTCATTTACCCACCGAACCACAAGCATATCATATCACCCACCGCGCTGCATGCCACAGGGGTGTAAAACGGCTGCTTTCAACCAATATTTCTTTGAACTACTCAACACTTTCTTTAAAACATTTTAAAAAATTAATGAATCTGTGACTTCAAGATAATAAATGGAGAAGCAAAAGGAAAAATGAAATGAAAGACCGAAAAAAACTAATAAAACCAACACTGGTGAGCAAACAAAGAGAAATACTTGAACAACAGCAGTCAAACAATTCAATGCACAGATCAGTATCACAAGAGGGTGCTTGTGTGTACTGAACCCCTCTCTTCAAAAGCCAGGCAGCACAGGACAAATTGTGATGAGACTGGAGGTCTTTATACAACACCACCAGGCGAACGTGATATGTTCACTGTCCCTGAAGGAAAACTCCCCTCTCCTTCCCTGCAGGAGAGAGTCTTTCTCAGGTAGCAGGTGGGTACCTGGCATCGTCATTCAGGGATGTGGGACTGTGGAAGGGGAAAAGCAGTAAACGAGAAGGAAATACAGTATTTGACATGCACCTACATTGCCCATGTACTCTGAGAGCAGATCCTGCAGCGCCTGTCGCACAGAGTTGCATTCAGCCACGATGCGCTCACGCCGGTCGTCACGAGTGCAGGAGGAATCGGCCATGAGGGCTGCGCCACTTATGATGCTCTCCAGACGCTCCTCGAGAGAAGGCCGGAACCTCTCCTCGCTAAAACTCAGTGGATCCACGATGATCTGCTTCTGCAGGGGGAGAAAAAGAGAGAGAATAAAGCATATGATGTTTAAAATTAGAACGAGCACGACAGGAATATTAAGCACTTTCTCTGAATTAAAGCACTAAAATATTGCCATTCAAGTGAGATGATTTCACATACCAAATGTCCAACTTCACAAGAGTTTGACAGTTAAACGGCAATCATTATTGGCTGTGCAGCCTGAACAGGATTTTGGAATCTATCTCCCTGGATGCCGAGGCACAAGCTGTGATATTCATTAACTGGACGAATCAATAATTCACAAGATCTGAGTTGATGGTCTGGGGCTCCTGATGCAATTTCAGGCCAATGGGTTTTGCTCAATCAGAGGCTGCAGTAGCTTGCCTGTGCACTTCATCCGTCTTTTAAATCAACCATATGTAACAGACGGCATCTTAAAAGCCATTTGTACCGTCTTCTGGGGCCGAACGAGGCACAAGCTGTGATATTCATTAACTGGACGAATCAATAATTCACAAGATCTGAGTTGATGGTCTGGGGCTCCTGATGCAATTTCAGGCCAATGGGTTTTGCTCAATCAGAGGCTGCAGTAGCTTGCCTGTGCACTTCATCCGTCTTCTAAATCAACCATATGTAACAGACGGCATCTTAAAAGCCATTTGTACCGTCTTCTGGGGCCGAACGGGGGGAAAAAAAACAAGTGGGACAAAAATCAAGCTTAACTGCACATTATGTAAGATCACAGACTCGTGCACATCTCATGTGGGGTTTTCAACAGAGAGAACTGCTTTGGTAAACACTGCAGTTAGTATGAGTGCATTTTTAAGGCTACTAACCCTAAACGGCAGAGCAATAGGATTTTGGCCTTGGGCAACAAAATGCAGTTGTGCATATAAAACATTGCTATTTTTCCTCCTTGAGCCAGGATGACATTTTAGATGTCCCTACATGTCCATTGCTGGGTACATTTACTTGGGGACATCACACTCCCTCTCTCAAAGAATAAACTTGTCAACGTCTGGTGCAATTAAAGCAATGAGAAGAATCACAAACGTTCCAAATAAGCGAAAGCTGCTTAGAAAGAAATGAAAATAGGCGGAACAGTGACAGGCGGAATCAATCTTCACGTGACAAGCCCCTCTATCTGATGTCATACACACTGTAAAATATTCAACAATTCAGTTGTTAGAAACTGAGTTTATTAGCCTCATCTCATCTGACCTCCTTTACTTGCGTGTCACGTTGGCATGGCAACAAGCCTCTCTCTCTGACTCACTGCAAAGTTGCTCCAGCTTCAAATTAAGCAGCAAGAAGCGACGTGGAAAAAAAAATGTGCATGTGTGCTGAAGTTTCTGCACAGTCACCAGGAAATTAAAGATGCACATGATCTGAGGTACCGACATTCCCAGTCTCATTTGAGTGCACACACGACCACTTTTTTTAACAGATGCCATCTGTTTAGGCAGAGGACCGCCTCCCCTTTGTGAGGATGTCTGGCCTCCTAAAACAGCTACTACTAAGAATAGAGCAGCTACATCTCCAGCTTAAGGAGTACTCCTATTCGAATATAAAGTGCAATGTTTTAATGCACAGATACGACTTTGGCCATAGCATCACCCAAACTATGGAGGCTAGGGCTGCACGATATATCGAAATTATCGAAAAATCGCAAAAGTATCGTGACATGCATATCGCAACGTCGTGCGATATCGGAATCATTTTAATAATAGGCTACTTAAATCAAAATGATAGCAAAAGGTCAAAGTTTTAGGTCGACGCATATAGCAGAGAATTGCTTGATGTTAAATAGAGTTAAGTGCAATAAGTTGCCGAAAACAACACTTTGCAGTCTCGTCTTGCTGCCTGACACACACCTGAAGCGCGCCCACAAGCCGCATCTCGCACAGCGTCTCTTCTGTTCTGCTGCACATGTGCAAAGCGTGCGCACACACACAGAGACGCGTTTCAGACAGCGCGCAAACACCGAGTTGATTAGTCTTTCACATATCATGTTTGAACAGACACACACAGAATTATGTCAATAGTACCCATCTCGATGATCATTCTCATAAACGCAGTCAGTTATGTTTTAAATGAATGTAAACCGCTGAGAAAGAAATCGGATGTTTCATTATACCACTGGATCCGTGCAGTCGGTCTTAAAGGGACAGCAGCTATAAATACGTGCTGCTGAATGTCACTCATGGTAATCAAACAAAACACAGCTATAACAAAGATTAATCTAAATTTAATTTATACAGTGAACACTACGCAGTGTTATTTTACACTTAATTATTACATTTCTGTACCTGAATACTACTGTTTATTTTATCTATGCTTGTAAATTATGAATTGTACATTTTTACTGTCTGTTCACTTGCCTTTAATCATGTTTGAACTTTCTTAGGCTATAGTTTTTGCTGTGGTATATGAAGAAGTACTTAAAGTGTATGGAAAGCAAAGTTACATTGATATAAATGCAGTCGGTTATGTTTTAAATGAATGTAAACCGCTGAGAAAGAAATCGGATGTTTCATTATACCACTGGATCCGTGCAGTCGGTCTTAAAGGGACAGCAGCTATAAATACGTGCTGCTGAATGTCACTCATGGTAATCAAAGAAATCGGATGTTTCATTATACCACTGGATCCGTGCAGTCGGTCTTAAAGGGACAGCAGCCTATAAATACGTGCTGCTGAATGTCACTCATGGTAATAAAACAAAACACAGCTATAACAAAGATTAATCTAAATTTAATTTATACAGTGAACACTACGCAGTGTTATTTTACACTTAATTATTACATTTCTGTACCTGAATACTACTGTTTATTTTATCTATGCTTGTAAATTATGAATTGTACATTTTTACTGTCTGTTCACTTGCCTTTAATCATGTTTGAACTTTCTTAGGCTATAGTTTTTGCTGTGGTATATGAAGAAGTACTTAAAGTGTATGGAAAGCAAAGTTACATTGATATAAAATTAGTGTCATTAATGTTTTGTTTGTATGTTCACATTGATGTTAAAATTACATTTTCAGATTTGTGACATTACTTTTTATGTACTGCTGGTCACTTTCAGTTGTAGTGATTCATTCTCTTCCAAGAATGTATGTGAAACAAATTGGTTATATAATTTATTTTTAAAGGTGCCATAGAATGGAAAACTGTATTTACCTTGGCATAGTTGAATAATAACAGTTCTGTACATGGAAAT